CTTTTCCTCCATCCTCTCTCCCTCTCCTTTTCCTGCATCCTCTCTCCCTCTCCTTTCCTCACCGTTCGCTGCCGAGTGGACCAACCGCCCGACGCGAAAGAATGCATGAAAACGTCTCAATCTATCTTGGATCCTTTTCGACTCGTCTGGCAAGACTCTTCATCTGGGCGCGCACTCCATCTTCGTCCTCGGCCCATTCTGCCAGCGCTTCAAACGTCGTGTTTCCTCCTTTCCTTATTTTTCTCCGATTAATTGTTTTCCCTTTTGTCTGTTTTCTCTTGGGGCTGATCCATCTTCGCCTCCGCCACGGTTTTATGCCTAATCATGATGTTTTATTTTACTGTCATTCATATAAGTTCATTCTCCTCCTAATTACCTTTCCTCATACGCACTCCATCATCGTCCGCTTACAATCCTCGGCCCATCGCGTTCAAGGGGCGTGTTTCTTTTCTTCCTCTTTCTCCGATTTATCGTTTTGCTTTTCGTCTCTTTCCTTTTGGGCTTAAACATCTTTGCTTCCGCTGCGGTTTCATTTTATTTTATTGTACTGTCATCATTTTACTTATTTTAATCAATATATTTTTTTAACTGTCATCTATTTATCTACTTCAATCATTTTTTTGTGTTTTATTTTACTATCATCTATTCATCTATTCTTATAATTTTTGTGTTTTATTTTACTGCCATCTATTTATTTCAACATTTTTTCTGTATTTTATGCTACTGGCATTTATTTATTCATTTTAAGTTCATTCTCCACCTAATTACCTTTCCTCACACGCACTCCATCTTCGTGCGCTCACAATCCCGCAACGTCGGCCCATTGTGCCATCGCTTTCAAACATCGCGTTTCTTCTCTTCCTCATTTTTCTCCGATTTATTGTTTGGCTTATTTGTGTTTCCTTTGGGTCTCATCCATCTTTGTCTCCGTTGCGGCTTAATTATTATGTTTTACTTTAGTGTCATCTATTCATAACCATTATAAGTTTATTCTCCACCATATTACATTTCCTCATACTTCAGACGACCCCCAACCCCCCACCCCCTTTCCCCAAAAGAACGACGGGCGGCGCGGCGTGGCGGTGCTTCCCCTCGGGCGACTATGGCACCATCAGTTATGCCTCGCCCTCTCCCAGGTGAGCTTTTATGATCCGGCTTGAGAGATATGCCTAGAAATGGCACCATGAATATAGAAAGCCGAGATGGTGTGTGTGCGTACGTGCACGTGTGAACGTGTGTGCGTATGTGTGCGTGTTGTTTGCCGTGAGTTATGTGTATGTGTGTGTGTGTGTGTGTGTGTGTGTGTGTGTGTGTGTGTGTGTGTGTGTGTGTGTGTGTGTGTGTGTGTGTGTGTGTGTGTGTGTGTGTGTGTGTGTGTGTGTGTGTGTGTGTGTGTGTGTGTGTGTGTGTGTGTGTGTGTGTGTGTGTGTGTGTGTGTGTGTGTGTGTGTGTGTGTGTGTGTGTGTGTGTGGGTGTGTGTGTGTGAGCATATGAATAGGTATGTGTGCGCGTGTGTGTCGACGTGGCTCGACTCTTGCTAAATTACACTGCTTCTGGATCTCCGTTCTCCCTCCCCCTTTTCTATGGCCATTGTGGATTATACGAGTCGGCGGGGGGTAGGGGGGAGGAGGGTGTTCATAAGAGCGTGCGTGTGTGTGTGTGTGTATGAAGATCCCTGCCACCCTCTTCTCCCACGTCCTCTCGCCTATTCTTCTTTATCATCCTATCCAAAATAATCACCATAATCATCAGCGCTTCTCCCACAACCACCCTTTCAAAGCCCGTGCACCCTCGCTTCTGGGTTTTCTTAAGAAGCTGGCTCCAGGGAGAAAGAGAGCGAGAAGCCGTAACCAACTTTCCCTTCGAGTGTGATGTGGGCGCAAAGACATCATCCTCGACTAAACACCTGCCTCGTCCTTAGCTGTGTAATTGTATGGGCGCGCGAGTCCCCCTTCAGGACGAAATGAGACCATCAAGGGAGGGAAGAGTCTGCCACTTGGTGTGTCTTGCGGCCTCATGTGTCGCGTTTGTTGTCCTCAACAGCTGGAGGCTTCCTTCCCTTCTCTTTCCTTCTTCCTCTTTATTTATGTTCGTCTCTCTCTCTTCTCTCTTCTCTCTCTCTCTCTCTCTCTCTCTCTCTCTCTCTCTCTCTCTCTCTCTCTCTCTCTCTCTCTCTCTCTCTCTCTCTCTCTCTCTTTCTCTCTCTCTCTCTCTCTCTCTCTCTCTCTCTCTCTCTCTCTCTCCTCTCTCTCTCTCTCTCTCCTCTCTCCCTCTCTCCCTCTCTCCCTCTCTCCCTCTCTCCCCTCTCTCCCTTCTCCCTCTTCTCCTTCTCTCCTTCTCTCCTCTTCCCTCTCTCCTCTCTCTCCTCTCTCCCTCTCCTCCCTTACGATCCCTCGTTTCCTCTCCCTTTCCCTCTCCTTCCTTCCGGTTTCTCTCGTAGCCTTCCTCCATTCAAAATCCCTTCACGGATATGAGAACTGCCAATTGGGACGCGACCAGA